TTTTCCTGGCCGTGGGAACAATGATAATGGATAAGATGAGGTAGGATCGGTCAGCGTGAGCTGCTTTGTTAGCACTCCAGCACTGATAAATGATTTACGATGCCGGTTTCTGGAACATCAATACCATCTCGTTTCTAATTAAAAAGAAGCCGCCCACAATATTGCACACAACAGTATCCAGTCGAGCAGGACGACGAGAAGATCATTCCAAAAGAAAAGCTTCTGCAGCAGAGGATTCATGGTGTTTTGGAACAATGTTATTTCCATAGTTTCACACTTTCAGTTAATGTGCTGAGTAGATCAATTGAAAACAAAAGCGGCGGGCGCGCTTTTGAGTGAGTCAGACGTGTTTTACTTTGTTAAATACAGACGTCCTTTCAAGTAACGGAAAGTGAAAAAGGAAACTTAGGTAATACTGAGTCAAATGTGCTCACTTTTGTTAGTGAGTCACTCTTGAGGGTGATTGTGTGTGAACATTTGCAGCATTGCAAACGTAAGAGTATTTGCATCAGTGATGCTCAACTGCAGGAACACTACTGCATGTGCACACGATAAAATCAATGAGTACCATCTAAAGAGGATGCTAAAATGACTGTATGTTCACGTGCATCCCAAACACTTCACTGCATTCAACAAATAACACTCACTGTGTTTTTGCACTATTATCAATAAAAAAGAAAATAAAAAAATGCATACAGCACAGAAATTGCAGTTTCCACATTGGCCATTTTGTTCATTTGTTTCACCAAATTATTAATTAATTAATTATATATATATATATGCCAATGCAAAGAAAAATATCAATAACAATATTTGCATTTAATGACATTCACTAACAAAAACTTTACCAAAAAGTAGTACTGTAGTATTACCATACGTGCTCAAAAACCTTAACCATGCATTTTATGATTTTTTTTATTAGTTAGAGCTTATTATTACTAAAATATTTTAATATTTTAAACAACAAAATAGAAAATGAAATACAAAATAAATAAAAAAAATACTAAAAATATGCCAGTGTGAAGAAAAATAGCACTAACAATATCCACATTAAATGATATTCACTACCAAAAAGTAGTACTGTATTACCATACATGCTCAAAAAACATTGTATAACCATACATTTTATTATATATTTTTATTAGTTAGTGCTTATTATAACTAAAATATTAAAATATTTAACATAATTCAATAGAAAATAAAATACTGATACACTTGACTGTTCGGTTTTGGTTCAAACTTGAAGTTCATTCTTTAGCGTTATGAGTGTGTGTGTGTGTGTGTGTGTGTGTGTGTGTGTGTGGGAAGAAGGTTATGTTGGGTGTGAAGTGTGGCCCTATGAGGACATATAGGGACTCTCAGTTCATCATGTGACCCTCAGAGAACCACAAAGCCACCAGACAGACAGACAGACACTGTCACTCTCAGACAACAGGGGGTGCTAGAGAAAGCCCCGATCTAAACCTAGTGTGCTGCCTACACAGACCACTATGAGCGAATCAAATATGATGAATGCATCAAATGTTTATTATAAATATATTTTTATAGTACGAAAACAATCAATAATCCACTTCATAGTTAATTCAAACTGATTACTTTACCCAGTATGTATGTGCTTTTATTCATTTTAAAGTATTGCGTCATTAGTTTAGGAACACATTAATGTAAAACATATTTGTATTTCTGTCATGACAACTCTCGGAGGGATTGGCATGGTAATGTACATGACAATGTTAATGTATTTGGTCTTGGTGAAATAGATCTGCTACGCTGCTGCTGCTACAGAGCAAGTACCGAGACTTGCTACTGCCAATACATCCACAATATGCTGCTGTGAGCATGTAAGAAATATTGCTGCTGCAAATATAACATACATGAAATAACCCCCATATAGCATACATGAATCACCTCGTAGCAGATCTATACAGGTGGAGCTGGGGAAGGTGGAGGGTTTCTGAAGCAAGCTGCAACTGCTACGCAAGCACTAGTCATATATTTGAATGTTGAGCAGCGAGCTCATTGGCTACTGATACAGGAGAGAACCAATCAGCTGTGCCATGTGATAATGATGTCATTAGGTCAGATTGATTTAGACCTATTGGACTGCGCCATCTAGAGTTTCATGCCAGAACTCTGTATTTGTTGCTACCTATGGCAGATCATTACAAACCGATCACTAGTTAAGATGCTAAAGAATAAAGGCTCGTTCACACAAAAAACGCTAACTATAACCGTTTTGCCGTCTGTCACTTTACATGTTCAAGCTGTTTAAAGTCGGATGGATTCTGATTGGCTGTCAATGTTTTTATCGTTCAACGACTGGAAAAAATAAATCCCACAGTAATTCCAATTATATTTTTAGTCTTTAGTTATCGTTATCGTTGTGGTGTGGATTAGAATTAGAATTAGAATTTTGGCCGTTCATTTACACGACAACAATGTTTTGGGGCCTGAAAATGCAAACTTTTAAAAATGGGTTTCAAAGTGTACATTTTTGAAAACGATATAAATTATCATCTTGTAAACTACAAAACGTAAATTTGTGAAAATGGTGATGTCATGCGTATGCGTATTAGACGTTAAGTCTATAACAGGGGTCGCCAACTGGCGGACTCCGGTCCGAATCCGGACCGCGAGATGTGTCCATCCGGACCGCAAAGCCTTTTGACATGAAATAAATAAATACCAGACGCTATTTTCTAATAAAATATAATTTATATCAAGCACATCAAGGTCAGCTCAGTAGAGCATTGTGGGTCCTTCGGCACCATGGGTTGGTACTATGGTTAACTGTTGCTACAGTCAGACGTGCAGTGAAGAGAGCAGAGAGAGGCACGCAGACAGATGAAACTTTCAGTGAGTGAAAAACAATGGCATTCTCAGAAATTAGGAAAGTTGACAGGTCCTTCAAAACTCTTAAATTTAGTTGTATCAAATTTAAGGCCATAAAAAGTCTTAAATGGTACAAGAAAGTCTTAATTATGATTTCAGGATGTCTTAAATTTGGGGACGGTAAGACAAGAATTGTGATATGGCTTAATGTGACGATTAAACTTCAAAAGGTTATGATTTCATTGAATAAATATGAGCTCTGCATGTTTCAAAGTCAGCTGCTTCTCTGCTTTGTGTACTGCCGTTACCACGGAAACCGCTGTACTGTATTTCTGCCGTTCCAAAAGTGCCACCTGCTGGCAGAGAATGAATGTGCATTTTTAATTAGCTCGTCTGCTGTTTTTGTTCAGACCAATGTGAAAATCAACCCATGTTTTTATGCTGCTAACACGCAAAGTTGTTAAATGTGAACTGGTGGATAGACAAGAAGAAAATGCAATAAAAATGTAAACAATTAAGACAGTAACATATATTTATAAGTTATTTAATGAATATAATTGACTGATAATAATTGTTTAAATTAATAGAATAATTGATACTTTTGACTCAAATGTCTTTTTAAAAATGGTTTAAAGACTTAAATGAGAAGCTTATCATTTTATAAAACTTTGTTTTTGTGAAAACCTGTATCTGAACTGTAAATCATGCTTTTTACAGTCATTTTAATTTAATTTGTGCATGTCTTAAAAAGTCTTAAATATGAGCTTAAAGGGGTGGTTCACTGGGTTTTTTCTAGGCTTGATTGTGTTTATGGGGTGTAGTCTAACATGTGTTAATGCTTAGTTTAAAAAAAACGCATAATTTTTCACATAATTTACCTTCATTCCATACAGCTCTGTCCCTTCTCTGAGAAACGGACTGATCTTTTCCTGTTTTTATGAAGCCCCGCCCTCAGAAATAGGCGATGGGCTCTGATTGGTTAGCTAGCCCAGTGTGTTGTGATTGGCTAAACCGCCTCTAGTGCGCGTCTAAACGTCCCGCCCCTCACCTCAGTGGCATGTGCTCCGAATGTATTGTAAACAACGGCATCGTTAATATCGCTTATCAATTTGAGCCCGATTGAGAAGCAGAGGATATTATTGAAGAGGATCGTGCAGAACCTGTGCAAGCACGGCTTTTAATGGTAGGCCTATGTTTTTTGTTTGTTGTTGTCTCATACTTTTAGATACGCTGTTGTAAATGCTACTGCTTATGTTAGCTTTTAATATCCGTTTTTTCCTGATTAAAGCTTTTATACAGTACAGCAACCGCATGCGCGTCCATGTTTAATGCTTCTCATAGCTATGTGAAAATAAGTGTATAATTGGAACAGTTCATTGTCGGAGCTGAGCTGAATGAGAGAGAGAGAGAGAGAGAGATGCAGAGCTTGTGCAGAGCAGGGG